GGGGGGGGGGGGGGGGGGGGGGGGGGGGGGGGGGGGGGGGGGGGGGGGGGGGGGGGGGGGGGGGGGGGGGGGGGGGGGGGGGGGGGGGGGGGGGGGTTGAACGAATTTTTATCCGTGACGCAAGGTCGCAGTAGTAGTCTTGGGTGGTTCCATTCGGTGATGGCCAGAGAATGTAACGGACTGGAACGTGTGCTGTTTATCGATGACGTGATCGTTTTTTCCAGGGACGGGGAAGAACACGTGCGCGACGTGGAGAGGTTTTTCGAGCGCATGGTCAAGTTCAACCTGAAACTGGCACCCAAGAAGACGAACCTGGGGGTGAAGGTGGTGACGTTCTTGGGACATCAAGTCACGACGGAAGGGATCGGGCCAGGCCCGGACAAGGTCAGACCGCTGCGTGAAGTGCCAATGCCCACTAATGTTAGCCAGTTGCGATCGTTGTTGGGGTCCTTGTCGTGCTATTGAAGTTCCTGAAGAACATGTCGGCGAAATTGAAACCGATCAATGCGACGCTGAAAAGGGGGGCGAAGTTTGCGTTCACGGCTGATCATGTGGCAGTAGTGAGGAAGTTTANAGACGAACCTGGGGGTGAAGGTGGTGACGTTCTTGGGACATCAAGTCACGACGGAAGGGATCGGGCCAGGCCCGGACAAGGTCAGACCGCTGCGTGAAGTGCCAATGCCCACTAATGTTAGCCAGTTGCGATCGTTGTTGGGGTCCTTGTCGTGCTATTGAAGTTCCTGAAGAACATGTCGGCGAAATTGAAACCGATCAATGCGACGCTGAAAAGGGGGGCGAAGTTTGCGTTCACGGCTGATCATGTGGCAGTAGTGAGGAAGTTTATGGATATTCTGTCTGGTCCTGAAGTTTTGGCATTTCCGTGTTATGAGGGTGCGATCTCGGGAGAGCGGCCGTTTCGATTAACCGCTGATGCGTCGATTTCGGGCTTGGGAGCCGTAATCGAGCAAGAGCAACGAGATGGAAGTATTAGACCGCTATGCTTTTTGAGCAGATCAACATTCGCGAATGAAACGAGATGGAGTCCGACTGAGCTTGAAGCGGGCGCAATAGTGTGGGCGATAAAGAAGAACCGGACACTATTTTATGGCATCCCCTTTGAAGTGTACAGTGACCATCAACCCTTGCGGAATTTGGGGAGTTTGGCAGAGAAAAATAATTGCGTACAGAGGTGGTATGACTTCCTGTCAGCGTACACATATGAACTTAAGTATCGACCAGGGCGAGAGAATGCAAATGCCGATTTGATGTCACGGTTGCCATTGCCTGCGACGAAAGAGGATGAGGCACCAGATGTCAGGCTAACTGATGCCGTCTGATCTCGATCTTTATATGATAGGTGCGAGCGGGGTGCTACCTTCGCGATTGGGTCCGGTGTACACCGAGCGAGAGGCGCTCGCTGGGTCGAACCATCGCGATGATTTTGTGGTGGGGGAAAGTGGCTGTACATCGGCAAGCCTCACAACGGATGAACTGGCAGACAAGACGTGGGCGCTGATCCAAAGGGAAAAGGGCGTGGCCAACCCTTTTGCCTGATGGTGCGTGTGTGACTGATGACACCCGGTTGGTGGAACCGAGTGGGGAAGTAGTCAGTGGTCAGTTTGAGCCAGGGCTGATATTACATGCTGTTCCTTACCGGAAGTTGGCAGACGCTTGTTAGGATTGGTGGAAAAACCGCGAGTGTACGCTATTTCTCAAGGAGGGGGCAGTGCCTCTGGGATGGTGGTGGTAGTAGCAGTAACGCTCGTGGGAGTGGGGCTGTTGCTGGTGGCGGGGGTGGCGGTAATGCTCGTACTAGCAGGGCTGTTGCGCGTAGAAGGGGTCGAGGTGGTGCGGCTCGAGGAGGAGGGGTTGCTAGTGGGGGTAGGGGAAGGGGTTCCGTGGGCAGAGGTCCAGCAGCGCCCCCGTTGCCTCGCAATCCGTTGCAAGAGTATGATGACGAACAGACGCAAGCGGCAATTGCATTTGGGGAGAATTTATGTGGTAAGACGGCTAGTGATTGGGCGGACATTCAGGCGGAAGACGATGCGGCGCGATTAGCAATTAAGGCCATTGAAGGGCATGCTGATTCAAAGAGGATGGAGAAGGGTGATGATCCGAAAAATGTAGACGTAGATTTGGATGAGTTGAAGTGGTTGGTGGCACAGGGTACTTTGTTGGTGTTGCCGAATTCGAAGCATTTGTTTGTGAGAAAAGAATCGAAAGCCCCTGCGGAAAATCCAAATCCAAATCCAGGGAAATTTGAGAGGTTGGTAGGTGAAGAGCCCGTTAGGACGTATGTGCCTAGGATGTTGAGACCGTGGGTCATGGGTTGTGCTCACAAAGAATCAGTGCATTTGGGAGAGAAAGTGACTCTAGGTATTTTACAGAGCGTGTATTGGTGGATAGGAATGGCGGAAAGCGTACGGTGGTGGATTCGTAGGTGTTATCCTTGTCAGTTTCGGAAAGTGCCGCGGCATACAAAGTGTTGGCCGTTAGTGTCTTTGCTTCTTCCGAGCAGACCGGGACAGATGGTGTCGTTTGTTATTTGGGTCCGTTGCCGAAAATGACGAAAGACACCGAATATGTGTTCCTGGTGGTAGATTTATTCAGCCGACATGCCGAGGGGTACCCACTAACGAAGGCGCAGAAGAACGCGAAGAGTTTTGTGTCCATCATGGTGAACGAGTATATTGCGAGGTGGGGTTGTCCACACACCATGTTGTCAGATAGGGGAGCAGAGTTTGCGAATGAGGTAGCCAAAGGGGTGTATGAGATGCTGGGGACGGTGACGAAGTTCACTAGCTCATATCATCCGCGGACGAATGGGATGGTTGAACGGTTAAATCACACGCTGTGTCAAATGTTGTCGCACTTAGTTGCGGACGATCAGGCGAACTGGGATGACATGTTGCCACACGCGGTAGCGGCACACAACAATAACGTGAGCCGAGGGACGGGGTTAGCACCAAACGTAGTACACATCGGAAGATACCCGAGGCTGCCGATGACGATCTTGGAGGGAAGGGGTGTTTCGGGAAATCAGGGCCTAAAGCAAGACCAATTGGATTATTTGAATTTGATGAGGGACAGGAAGGCGTACGAGCTGGTAAGAGAGCAGGATAAGATAACCCAGGCTAAGCATGAGAAGAGCAATCAGGTGTTGAACTCGATAATAGGCAAGAGGCCGAAATATAAAGAGGGGGACTGGATCTTGGTGTATGATGAGAAGAGGACGATTTCCGGTGGGGGGAAACACGTGCTTATGTCGCGAGTGAATAGTAGGGGGGGGGGGGGGGGGTCCAAGCGACGAAAACCCAACCCCGATGGCAAACACCGGGGGCGGGCGGGTGAATAGTAGGGGGAAAGAAAAATCGTTCGCGTTGATCCCGAAGTTGTCACACAGTTGGACCGGCCCGTATAAGGTATTGATCGTGGGTCCAGGGGATGGTCTTGGCGGGGAAAAGGTGGGCCCGAATATTTTGTATTTGGGCGTGAATAAGGATGAGCCAGGAATAGAACATTAACGAGAGGGTGTCGGTATATCGGTGTAAAAAGTGTTATACTCAGCACGAGAACGAGGATAGACCTAGGGTTTTGCCGTGGGGCTTTAGCAATATGTGTTGAATAAGTTTTCAGATTTGACGCCTCCGTTCCAACTTACGGCCGAGGACGTGGAGGAAGAATTGGATAGTAAGGAATTGGTCCCGTGTAAAATATCAAGGCACATAATTTGTCGAGGTATTAGTGGGAAGGGGGGGGGGGGGTACTCATAGTCGTGCATGCCGTAGTCGTTAGACCATTGACCTCGCATCCCTACAAAGCCGGGACGGAGCACGCCGGGTTCTCACCGGACCAGGCTCTCACATCACCAAGCGCGAAGC